CGTGCCAATGAGGCCCCCCTCTGCTGAAGAAGTGGCACTCCTTTCCTCGCCTGCTCCGAAGCAGGGCAAGGAGAAGAAAAGGAAAGAGGCTCTGAGTTCCTCAAGCCCGGAGAAGAAAAGGTCGGCCAGAAGGCCCCGTAAACCATAGGGGGATGTCATTCCCGTAACTCTGGAGTCCGTCCACCAACTATCAGATGAGACCGAAGATTAGAATGAAGAAGAAAATTCTGGTTTGGTGCTTCGTGTGCGGGCTGGCACCGAAGTTCAAAGAACCACTGAACAGGTGGGGGTCGAAACTGCTTTCCCGGTCTGATGAGCCCGAGACAACAAGAGTTGAAGATGTCTCACCTCAGGATATAGAGGCCATCGAGGAGACGGTCGAGACTGGAGTAGAAATCGAGCTCGAGGCTTCCCAGAATGAAGATGATGCCTCCAAAGATCTACTTGGGGCAATAGTGATCGGGATTCCTCCTCATTCCCTCCAGTTCCAGATTCGATGATACGTGACGCCCATGCTGTAGAGACTTGTCACGGAGAGGGGACCCAAGGGGAGGAAGATTTATTCCGCGGCTATTTTGCCGACGTGGAAGATGTCACCGGTTTGGGTGACTTGGTTGTACCAAGGAAGAGCTCGAATGAGGCTGCCTCGAGCTATACATTGACCAATCAGTCCCCGGCTCCTAGCATTGATCCCGATCGGAAGCAGCCTCTTATCATCTCAATTCCGGAAGATACTCAAGTTTTTTTAGCCTCCATAGGGGTAGCAAGTAATCTCCGATTCTTGGTCACTGAGGAGGACCAAGCCAAAATGGACGCAGTGGATGTTGCCTGCTTGTTCAACGAGGCCCAGCATGCTCTGAATCGGGTATGTTCGAGGGCCATTGCCTTTCCATGATTTTTGTCTTGTAGATATTTCTAACATCTCTTCTTCTCTTGCAGGTTTCGGTGTTGCACCACGAGGCCTTTCTTCGAGTCCGAGAGGAACGCAAGGTTGAGGTCCAAGGTCTTACTGAGAAGTGCAACACTTATAAGATTCTCAGTGATCTGGTGGACCTGTTGGAGGCTCGAAACGCGCATGAAGAGATGGCCGAGCAGGTATTCCGAATTCTTCATGATAGCGAGGACGAATCGGAGATAACGACTAACAATCCCATTTAGCAGGCTCGACAGAAGATCGAACAAATCAAAGGCTTTCAAGGGCAAATATACGAAGTACGAGCTGAGGCTGAGCGGCTCAAGGGATGTATGGACATCCTGGTTGCACAAAAGGAGACCGTTCAGGAAGAGCTAGATTCCGCCAAGTCGCAGCTTTGGCAGGCAAGGGACAATGCCTCGGTCCAGGCAAAGAAGGTTGAGGAACTCAAAGCCAATATAGCCAATTTGGCCAAGGAGCTCGAGGTTGCCAGATTCGAAGTGGTTGCGGCCAATATTAAGGCCCAGGCTACTAGTGATCAATACAAAGCCGATGCCGAAGCCACCCTCGAGCAAGCGAGGGTCATGGTTGATCATTCGAAGTGGCAGGCTCGAAGGGAGGTTCTCGAGGAAATCCTTGCTCAAAGTGTCGATATTTTTGCTGAGCTCGAGATTGCCAAGGCTGAGGAAGCAGCGGTTCAGAAGTTAGCGTTCCCCGATGAGGATTCCGAGGATGTGAGCGGATCTGGTGGAGAAGACTCTGAGGGTGAAGAAGCTGCCCCCGAAGAAGAATAGGCCCTTAGGATTAGTAGTATTTCTTTTAAGGCTATTTTTGGCCTTTGTAAAAAGTTTTTGATCGGGCCATGTGGTCCTTGTAAGAAATTTTTTTGGTATATAAAAATTTTCCTTTCTGAACCCGTCTTCTTTTCCCTTATTTTGTCTTTACTTGTTTTATCGTGCCTTATGGGATTGTATTCATAGGTTAGAGATTTGGACCCAAACCGAACTATTGTCGAGTGAATGTTTCTACGAACTCGAAGCAGAGTAACCCTTAGGTTTTAATTGAGTGAGGATGATCCCTCGAACTCAAAAAAGATGGCCCTTAGGCTCTTGTATTAGGCCGATATGGCCTTAAAAGAATGGCTCTTTTCCCTTTTCGACTTAAAAAAGTTAATCATACAAAAAAATTTGTTATGCCTTAGCATGAAATAAGGTTGTTCGAGAGTTCGAACGATCCGGTACCCCTTAGGGTTTTAAGGTGTTGATGTTATTGAAACCCTTTATAATTTTGTCGAGGGTAGCCTTTTTAATCGATTTTGTGAAGATATTAGAAGGCCTGTTTTTGTTATGGAATTCAGACGTCTCCAAGCCGTGTTAGTTTGGCCGTAGCCTTTAACTTGGGAGTTGCCTCTTGCGCTTGTTTTCCGATTACACTTCGAACTTGTTCGAAGTGTCAGTCCCCGAGTGGGGTGGCCGTGACTTATAAAAATGAGGGTTTCCTTTTTAAGGTCTTATGATCTCGAGATTTTAATACTTCGATTACATCAATTTTTCGGACGGCAGTCCCCGAGTACAGGGTACATTGTTTGAACTTCAGTTGTGATCGGCCCTTAAGCCTGTTCCCACAACAGACCAGAAGTATGAAATTGTAAGGTAAAATTTTCTCTAAGGCATGAAATTTTTGGCAAGGAAAAAATACTTCTCTCAATAGATTATACATGTGTACATGTTTGCCTTTAGGGCTCGACTAATCTACATGGGCACGGTTTGTTTGACCGTTTGGCCCTTAAAAAGTTTTACCTATCGAGACCCCGTCGACATGAAATATCTTCCTTGTAACAAAGTCGATATCCAAGGGTGATGCCCTCCAGTATTCGAGGTTGATTGTAATGAAGCCTCGGATACTGTTGAATTTCTCTAAGTTAGCACGAACAATGGTTGCCTCATTAAAAACCTTGCCAGAAAAACCCACTTGTGACAAAACCGGTCTAAGGGAAAAAGAGTGCAATGCGTGCTTTCAGACCTAAGGACTTTGTGATGAATAATCCTTTGATGTCTTCGATTGAACACCTGCAATTGATTAGTATAAAATGTAAATGAAAAAGGAGAAGATCGTACCTTAGCAGTAGTATCGTTTTGAGGAGTGATACGTTCTAATTGTTTGGTAATTGCTCGCCGTCCATCGTGCCAAGTTTGTAGGATCCTTTCCGATGATATCGAGGACCTGATACGGTCCCTCCCAGTTTGGGCCAAGTTTTCCTTCGTTTGGATCTCGAGTATTGAGGGTAACCTTTCTCAGAACTAAGTCTCCAATTTTAAAATGTCGAAGATTGGCTCTTCGGTTGTATACCTTTCGATCCGCTATTTTTGTGCGGCCATTCGAATGAGGGCTGCTTCTCATCTTTCATCTAGCAATTCGAGGCTCGTACTCAAAGCCTCGTGATTTGACTATTCTGTTGCATACCGAAACCTGAAGCTAGGTTCCCCGACTTCGACCGGGATCAGGCCATAGACTAAAGAGAATGGTGTTGCCCCCGTACTGGATTTCGATGTTGTTCGATACGCCTAAAGGACCTCGGGCAATATTTCTCTTCATTTTCCTTTAGCTTCAGTCAATATTTTCTTCAGATTTTGGATGACGGTCTTGTTTGTCGACTCGGCCTGTCCGTTCCTACTAGGATGATACGGCGTTGAGAGGATCCTTTTTATTTTGTGGTCTTTGAAAAACTTTGTCACTTTGCTGCCGACGAATTGCTTTCCATTGTCGCATACGATCTCGGCAGGCATTTCGAATCGGCATATGATGTGGTCCCAGATGAAATCTATGACTTATTTTTCTTTGACTTTCTCGAAGGCCTGTGCTTCAACCCACTTAGAGAAATAGTTAGTCATAAACAAAAATGAATTTAGCTTTACCTGGGGCTGATGGTAAAGGGCCGACGATATCCACCCCCTATTTCATGAACGACCATGGGGATAGGACCGAGTGGAGTTGCTCTCCGGGCTGGTGGATCATCGGTGCATACCTTTGACATTTGTCGCGCTTTCAAACAAACTCTTTAGTGTCCTTTTCCGTATCGGCCCAATAGTAGCCTGCTCTGATGACTTTGTGAACAAATGACTTGGCTCTATGTATGGTAAAATTCTAATTACGGAAGTAAATCCCATGATTAGCTAAACAACGACCCTTGATTTGATTTGTTCCAAGCTTTCCGCCATGATCTTCGACCAGTCACGGATATCTCGCTTTTCTGTTATTGGGCTTTGCTCGATGTCTGTCTCATTTGGTCTCGATCGCTACTGGCCTCGATCTTGATAGGTACCTCGATCCTCGAACTCGGTACCTTATCCTCGTGCTTTGGTCTGATCCACTGCGGGGCCGACCTTTGATGCAACTCCCCGGTCTTGATCAAATAGTAGAATCGGGCAGGCCTTGTTTTAACCGTATACATATCCACTTAACCAAAAAAATTCATAGTTTCTATAATATGAGCAAAGCTAATGTATTCCTAGAAAGTAAAATACTTTTGATCTTGTCAGATTGAACAACGAATCATGTCTTCAGTATTTTAACCTTGCGGAGCAGTTCTAATTAGCCAAGCTTCGAATACTACTCCCTTTTTCCACGTATTGATTTATTCTTTTTAAGAGAATATTATCTTTCTATATTTAAGAATACTTTGATTTAATTTTCTTGCTTTACCTTTAATATTATGCTCTTATAACCACATAAATGACATAACATATTTAACACCACAAGTTCAAGATAGAGAATATTTTTGAAGCTGTGTCAAAATTTTTTTCCTGTTAAATTTGGTGTTTAGTCAAAACTATCATTTAATTGGAAGGAAAGGAGTAATTACTCGATTTTTAATCCATTTTGTAACTATACTCATATTAAATACATTTTTAATAAAATAAGCTACCTAACCAAAGTCAAAAAGGTCCCTTAAAGCCTCAAACAAAACAAAACCAGCACGATGATATATCCGAGTAAACACTAACGTGCTTTCCACTTCATATTCTTTCATATTACATTCCACGTCTACAATCATGGCATATCATATATTTCCCTTCTTGGAAGCTCTTTCAAGAAAATTAACAAATAATAATGCCATCACCAAAAACACTGCCGATGGGCCGTCTTCAACCAGGAAATGTTGTAGCTCCCGACAGGCCACCCTCCCGGTTACCTGCCGCCCCGGTTCTCTTGCCACAATCATCTCACAAGAAAGGTCAATGGAAATCCACAAAACTTTTCCGACGTGCAGTTAAGTCAGTTTTCCGGTCATTTCCGGTGATAAACCCTCCGTGCAAGATGCCGGTTTCTCTCCATGGAAACCGGATGCACGAAGGACACATACATGGTGGAAAACAAATGACAGGAACCCTATTTGGGTACAGAAAAGCAAGGGTTAATCTTGCAATTCAAGAAACCCCTAGAAGCGTTCCTTTGCTTGTGCTGGAACTGTCCATCCATACAGGTAAGCTGCTCCAAGATATGGGTTCCGGACTTGTTAGAATTGCTCTTGAGTGCGAAAAGAACCCGTCCGAGAAACTCAAACTTATCGACGAACCCATATGGACCATGTACTGCAACGGACGGAAAGCTGGCTATGCTGTGAAGAGAGGACCCACAGAGGATGATTTGAAGGTCATGCAGAACCTGCATGCAGTGTCCATGGGAGCCGGCGTTCTGCCCAGTCAGAAGGCCGACTCCCCAGAGGGGGAGCTTACTTACATGAGAGCATTCTTTGAACGAGCAATTGGATCTAAAGATTCAGAGACTTATTACATGATGAACCCCAATGGCACCAGTGGCCCTGAGCTGAGCATCTTTTTCGTTAGGGTTTGATCAATATATTCAAATGCAAATAGGAAGAAAGGGTGAAATAGCAAAGAGAATTGTCTTTTTAATTCTGTTTTTCCTTTTCATTTGTCCCCCTTTTGAGTTTTCGTTTAGATAGCTCGGTTATATATGTCGCAGCAATCTTCCTTATTGTCAAAGCAACATGAAGGGATCAAGCGCACCTTATATGAAGCATGTCAATTACATCAACAAATGTTTAGTTCAATGAAAATCATTATTAATGTTTGTTAGACAACATTTTATTTGGTTGCTGAGTGAAAAATAATTTTCAAACATATATTAAAAATTAATAAAAATATTAGCAAATAAGATATTGTTTTAATAAAATTTTAAGTATAAACGATTAATAATAACATAGTGTTGGTTTGAGAAAATGATAGTATCACTAAAAAAAAGGGCCTAATTGCAGTTAAGAACAATTTTGCTAAAAAGAAAAAGAATAAAAAAATAAAGAACAATTTGGACTTCTACTTCGCTTAATGGACTTGGATAACAAACTTTAGCTTATATGAGCGAAGCCCAAAGGCGAGTAAAAGCTCACTAGTAGAAATTGGCGGAAAACCGTCCACGGTCTACCGGCCAAAATTGGTCGGAGGAGGAAACCAACCGAAATCGATCGGAAAGTGTCACGATCCAAATCGATGGGCCGCGACGAGTACCCGATACCTTACTCAACCGAGTACCATCATAACCTATCTTTTCATGGCATACTTTCATAGATAACTGAGCCGGAAAGCTACCGTGGGATAAATAGAATACAACATGTGATACCAACCTATACATAAGACATACGGGCCTATAAGACCAAAATAACCACTAGTATACTGAACATAGACCGACAAGGCCATATAATCTTTTAAGTACATGACATCTGTCTACAAGCCTCTAAGAATACATAATTTTTATAAAGGTCGGGACAGAGTCCCCATACCAAACAATACACGTCTAAATCATACTAATCCAACAAGCACCTCCGAAGCAAATGGAGCGTACCAACATCTTTCGGTGAGCTGATAGCTTACGTGGAGGGCTCTCGACCTGTCTATCGGGACCTGCGGGCATGAAATGCAGCGTCCCCAGGCAAAAGGGACGTCAGTACGAATAATGTATCGAGTATGTAAGGCACATAAATAAATACATAACAGACATGGAAGAAATATAGAGTAAATGACTCAACCTGTAAGTCTGGATAACTCTGTAAATCATGAAATAATTATAGTGTCATGCATATGCGTATGAATGTCATGACGTGCATAGGTACATGTTTCATAACATCATCAGGCCTCTGAGGGCATCCCATCATATCATCTCGACCACTGTGGGCAAAATCATCAACGTATACCAGCTGATCAGGTGGTGGTGCGTATATAGCCATAACCTTTCCCATATATATATATATATA